TTGTCCGGTGGTTGGTTGGGTGTGCAGGGACGCGGTTCCGGCCGCTGTCGCTCAACGTGCCCAAGCCGCTCTTCCCGCTCGCCGGCCAGCCCATGGTGCACCACCACATCTCCGCCTGCCGCCGCGTATGACCCACGCCCCCTCCCTCTCCTCTCCGCCTTCCGCATTTGCTTGGTGGCTCGTGTCAGAATTGAGGCCTTTTCGATCCCACCGCTGCAGATCCCCAACCTGGCGCAGATATACCTCATCGGGTTCTACGAGGAGCGGGAGTTCGCGCTCTACGTCTCCTCCATCTCCAACGAGCTCAGGATCCCTGTCAGGTTCGCTTCGTGTCCTCCCCGACGCCTCCACTTCACTTCCTGTCAGTTTAGGCGCGTCGGATTCAGACTGCGGTGAACTGCCACTGACTGAGTGCTGTTTAATTCTAGGTACCTGAGGGAGGATAAGCCACGCGGGTCAGCCGGAGGGCTCTACAGCTTCAGGGACTACATCATGGAGGACACTCCGGTCTGCTCTTGACCAAATATCATCTTCATTTAAAAAAATGTGGAACTGAATTAGTTGTTTGGCATTTGCCGCTATTTGTTAGGGTGGATTCTAGTGTGTTCCTTCGACCTGGGATGTTTGAGTAGTTGAGTTTAGCGCCGCTGTGGTTTGCAGGATTTGAAAACACAAGAATAGGTAGAACTTAGGAATAAGATGTTTTGACATTTGGAATCCTACATTGAATATAAAAACACAGAAATCGGTTATAGAAGTTATTTGGTTGCGCCACAGGAAAAACACCGGTATTTTGCATAGGGACCGAATGGATGCCAATGCCATAGTTGTCTCATAGACACAAAATTTCAAGGAGGTCTAACCTCTTGCTAGGAATTCTATGGAATAGTAATATCCCCTAGTAGAAAACCAATCCATAGAATTTGGAGGGTCCATTCCTTTGAATCAGATGGACTCTAAATCTCTAACGGAAAAATTCCCATGGATTTAAAATCCTACAAAATTCCTTAGTAAATTCTCTGAGAGATATGCAACTGGTTGGGTTTTACTGGTATCTACTTCGCTGTTCTGGGTCAGAATAAGGGAACTTTTGCCCTCTAAATACCCTTATGTTTTTTTTTTGCAGGCACACATTGTTTTGCTGAACTGTGACGTCTGTTCCAGCTTCCCCTTGCCAGACATGCTCGGTAGGTTGCCAAGTAGCTGAAGTTGGGATTGCTCATTGTGTATTATTAACAGTGTTTGCTTTGTTAATTTTCTGTTGAACACTCATCACTAAAAGTATCACCATCTCTTCATTGCAGAGGCCCATAAAAAGTATGGAGGCATGGGCACTTTGCTAGTCAATAAGGTGTGAGAATGCCATACTAGTAACTTCCATATTAGCCGTAAGCAGAGTTCATATAGTATTCTCATGCATAAGTCATAACATTATCCCGAAAATCTTTCTCAGGTATCTGCGGAGTCAGCCAACCAATTTGGCGAGTTAGTAGCTGACCCTGAAACAAATGAACTGTTACACTATACAGAAAAACCAGAGACTTTTGTGAGTATACAGTGCTGATTATTTGTTGTTTGGTTTGCTGTTCTATTTTCCATTTGGAGAATTGTGCATGTCTTATTTGGTTTTCAAATTATTTTGGAACAACCAATCGTTTTTAGGGAGTAGTTAGCTTAGCGCTAATGCATTTTATACATGTGTAGGTGAGTGATCTCATAAATTGTGGAGTCTATATATTTACACCCAAGATATTACTTGCTATCGAGGATGTCCTAAAACAGAAGAAAGACAGAGGTATTATGCTCAGTTATAGTACATTTTTTTGCCTTTTAAATTGCTATGGTTTACACATATTGTCCATGGTTTGTTTGCCCATTCCTTCACCTCGCTACTAATTTTTGCCTCATTTCGTTTTGGCCATGCTCCCGTGAGGCATGTTTTGTTTTTGCTAGCATCGCCATTCAAACCATTAGTCAAAGAGGTTTGGCTGTTCCAGTTGAGCTAAAATTCTGACAGCTTGGTGACATACAAATTTAAGAAAGTATATTAGTTCTAGTCGGTTAATATTTTCTTCATTAGTCTTGTTTTGGTCCTCCTATTGGTACTTCCTGTTTACAGCACAAACTTTAATCACTCTCAATGCTAAAATTTCAGCTAATTTGCGCCGTGTATCCAGCTTTGAAGCTCTTCAATCAGCAACGAAGTATGTGTGTTCATTTTCCTGCATATTTATTTGGGTTATTTCTTAGTTAATGTGTATTTGATTATTTTTTAATCATGGCAATCGTCGGTGCTATTTTAAAGAATATGATGTCGTACTACCAAATTAATGCATCACCAGGAAGTTGAACGTGAACTGCAAGATGTCTATGTTCTAACTTGAAATACAAATGTCTTGGAACATATTTTTACAAACACAACTAATTTTACCACTGATCTTTTAGCAAATCAATGTCTCGTTAGATGGATTAATTGTCCACAAACAAGAATTCAGTTTCATGTATCCTTGAAAAAAGAATTCACTTCCATGATACTGATAAACTGCTATCCTTGTCTTGCTGTACCTCCGATGATTTCCCCCTTATATTTTGAAGATAGCTAAGTTCAGTGCACATGGATTGCTACCACATCTTCTCATCGCAATAAAACAAATGTTTGCCATGTTTTCTGAAGTTGTCTTCTGGAATGACCCTTTGTTTGCTTGAAGGCGTCATGAACTCATGATCGTTTCTTTAGGTTCCAGGGGGATTGTGCATGGAAATATAAAATCATAGAATATGCCTTACATGGCCATCATATCAATTCAGAATAAGAAAAGAAATGGGTAGGAGGACTAATTGGCCATCATACTGTCCTTGCTGCTTTGTAGAAAGCATATTTTCTTCTATCGTTGTTGGCCCGATTAAGGTCCTGTATCTAGCAATTCGGCTATTTTGTCTTCTTTTTAGTTTTTCCAAGAAATCTGTAGAGAAACGATAGAGCTTCCATTAAGGTGATCCCAAATTATTTATAGGATACTGAACATCTTGTGTTAATTGTCAACAGGGCAATTCCGGCAGATTATGTTAGGTTAGATCAAGATATCTTATCTCCTCTAGCAGGAAAGAAGGAACTTTACACATACCAGACACTTGATTTTTGGGAACAGATCAAGACCCCAGGGTAAATATAGTTCTTGACGGTGCTCTTTCTAATCTTGAAGTTGTTGATTGACCAGTGTTGCATCTATGCATAGGATGTCTTTGAGATGCTCTGGCCTATATCTCTCCCAGTTCCGCCATACCTCTCCTCATCTTTTAGCATCTGGAGATGGCAAAAAGGGTGCCACTATCGTAGGTGACGTATACATCCATCCATCTGCAAAGGTGCATCTAACTGCAAAGGTAACATCTGGTTCTTCAACATAAATTTAGTAGATTGTGATATACCATGGTGTGTGATATCCTTGAAATTATATTTATAACATGTCAATAGTTAGTGATGGTTTTATCTTTTTATACGCTATCCATATACAGATTGGTCCCAATGTTTCGATATCAGCAAATGCACGCATTGGAGCAGGTGCCAGGCTTATCAGTTGCATCATTCTGGATGATGTTGAAATTATGGTTAGTCTTCCTCTCTTTACCAAATGATAACCCACATTTAGGTACCTGCGTCTCAGATAATTCATTTGGTTGCAGGAGAATGCAGTTGTCATACATTCAATAGTAGGGTGGAAGTCAACAGTAGGGAAATGGTCACGTGTACAGGCAAGATTTTCTATAATTGCTTACCTATCCTATTAACAATTACTCATTTTCACCTCTTTCATCATAGAAAGCTTGGAACCTTTCATATTCTGATATTTCTGTTCTAGTCCAATTTGAGAAGTACGTAGATTTTAATGTTTATGCTTCTCTGCACTGAACATATCTACTGTACTGTTTTAAACATAACATTTTGTGGTTCCGTGTGCAAAATTACTATGACTTTGCTGAAAAAAGTTACTTTTGGTGTGACAGTACGTCTCGCTGTATCTGTCTTTGAGACGAAGTTACAATTACGTATACTGCTAATCCAGTCTTTTCTGGGTGCATCACGTAACAAAATTACTTTCTGAATACAGGGTGAAGGTGACCACAATGCCAAACTTGGTATCACCATTCTTGGTAAGACCGTTCCTAGATGATACCTTGTTACCTTCCCATAAAAATCTTGTGATAATATGCTTTACGTAGGGATAGTTCCTATGCTCGATTTGACGTGCTAGCTAAATGCAGGTGAAGCCGTTGATGTTGAAGATGAAGTAGTTGTAACTAACAGTATCGTGCTCCCAAATAAAACTCTCAATGCCAGTGTGCAAGATGAGATCATCCTATAATATTCCTTGCACAACACATATCTTTATTTAATCCTGAATAAGGTCTTCAAACCAAATATGTAATTTTCTTTCCTTTTCTTCTTTACCCCCCTTATGTATGCTTGCATTAGATTGGGGTCATTAATCTGTACAAGGCATTGGATGTGATATTGGTGTAATTTTGTTTAGCATTCTGGCATCAAGTTGACTGGTGTAGAAATTGTACAAACAGATTACAACATTACTATTGAGAACTGACATTTTGTTAGCTGGATCAGTTGTGAGCAATTGCTGTTCTTTGAGACCCCAATCGTTTTTCTTTCCTTTTTTTCGTTTCTTTTGCATTGAAAAGTAAGAAGTTCAGTTACAACGCAGGTTACAACGTTGATATGTTGCTGTACATCAGCTTTGATATGTTGCTGTTAGGTGTGTTGTTAATCAATCAATTTACGCATTCCATCTCACTTTGGGAAATAAGTTTGTCAGCAATAAATGCTTACTGGACAAAAACGCCTTTTGGAGGCCGAGCTCCATGGAGGCCTCTAACAGCATTTTTCAAATTTCATCAAAATTCATGTCTAGATTTCAAAAAATCATGAAAAATACACATATAGATGAAGACACAATGTACACGTGTGAAATTTTTAGGACAAAATACGTTGAAATGAGGGATGTGCAAAAAGGACAAATATGAGGCTTTTGATCACATGATACTATTCATCCTCAAAGTCAATGAACTTTTTTTTTGCACAGGTCACATTTCAAGGTATTTCATCCTGAATTTTTACACACATACTACATTTCATCTTTGTATACTTGCATTTTTTTCAGATTTTTTTGAACCCCAAAAAAAATGAATTTTGAATTTCTCGAAAATAAAGGGCTCCATGGAGCTTGGCCTCCAAAATGCCTCACTCCTTACTGAAGTTGTACTAAAGCAACAAGTAATAGGGATTGGTCCACTGAAAAAAAAAGTAATATGGATTGGAGGGAGTACATCAACTATTTTGCTGATGACATGTGCAGTAGTTGCAGTATCCATTTCACTTTGGGAAATAAGTTCGTCAGCAATCAGTGCACTGGTCAGAGGCAATATATTCTGCATAAAACGGTACAGTAGTAATGAAATGTTGTAACACGATAGGATTTGCCCTGAAACTTCATATGGAATATCACCGAGTATGGCACCATCGTATTCTATCATATGTACAAAAATGCTCCAGTCGCATATCATGGCAACATATCAATGAAGGTAGCCGCACTGCTACAACGCAACTGGAACTGGAACTGATTCTGCTAAAGCCCGGCAGGCATGGATAAGCAGGAAGCCGACAGATGATGCCCCAAATCCCTAATGCCTGAACAAAGCCTGTAGTCTATCTACTAACAAAAGAACCCTATTTGTAGTTTCTGCAACGCCTGCAAAAGATGTTGCAAGAGTACTTTGGCCTTTCACCGTCTGATGTTCTTCAGGAAACGCGGAGGCATATTTTTAGGTGAAGCCATTGCCGACACACCCTCAAGCTGTACAGTGATCAAAAAACAAATTCAAACAAAAAAGTTCGCATGCGAAAGCCAAAAAACTGGGGAAAGCATATCTTACCTCGCGATCATTATACTTGACTTTGACGGCGTCTTCTTTCAGGCCCGGATACGTTCCATTCAACTGCAATTCGTGTATCATCAAGATGCAAGACTTGAGATCAGAGACCTTGTATTTCGTGTTCCTTTGCAGCGTCAGGTTCTGCAGAATAAACACAAACCAATATCAGAAAATTATAAAGCATAGTGTACATTCAACAAAGGAGTACTCATGTCTTCTTACCCAAGGATGGGCAGTTGGGCTGATTGTGAACCTGGCCAAAAAAAGGTAGGCAGCAGCAACAACTGATGGATTGAACTGTATGCAGTCATAGTCCAGCAAGCTCAATTCTGCAAGGTAGCTACACAGAAACTCCAGCTTCTCCGCTTTTGCACGCTAAGGTTTGAAGAGGGGATAGACATTATAATAATGAACATTAAGTGAATACAATATCAGATGCTGCAACAGATGCTTACATCGCGTCCGCGGCAAACAGTTATGTATCTCCTACAACAGACATGCATTGAACATCAGGGTTAGGATCTTTTGAGTCCAGTGTGGCAATAATCATAAGACAAGATATATGTTATGCGAATTAAACATGGTAACTATTGTACATGCTGAACACAACGTGGTCGTGGGATGGCTTGGCCATCGAAACTGTGTTCGGCGTACCTCAGTAGATGTCATGGAAAAAAATTTATTCTCAGATGCTGCCCATGTGCTATGCTAGACATAGACAGACATGAATTCTGATAAGCTTTTCACTAGCCAGATCTAGGATTTATCTCATTTCAGAGTATTTTGTTTGACAGAACAGACATGTACCAAACGTTAGGCTTAGGAATGTATTTGAACACAATACGGAAGTAGTCATAATACTACTTATATATCTGAACTTTCATCGTAACTGTTTTACTACTGAGGAGATTTTATCTTTCGAATGTAAAAGTTTCTGCTCAAGCACATACCTTAGAAAAGTTCTTGCAGTAGGACTCCCCATCTCAAAGTTAAGAGATTTCAGTATGTCAGTCTCCATCTTCACAACCTTCGGTGCATAAAAACCATAAATGTTTCTTCAGCATTCAAGCCCTGGAAATGTACTATGGGAAGTTAAGCAGAAGCAAGGCTAACCTGCTGCGCGGTGTACGTGTTGCCAGTAACGCCCCTGTATCTTTGGACCTCATGCACAAATATGTCATCTTCATATTTCCTGCAACAATCCATTCATGCTAATCAGATAGTCACGCTAAGAGATAAATAAAAAAGAGATAAGCAATGGTTTAGTTCCCTACGCAGCAACAAGCAATGCGGTCACACCAAGTAATTGCAGCTCATGCCGTTTAATGACACTTGTTGTGAGGAAGCGGTCGACATATGAAACTGCAAGGTGAAGTGTGTCAGCAGGAAGCCTGAATGTACAAGCCACGTCCACCAGCCAGTCCACTAGGACCGCCCTCATTTTGGGATTGATATCTTCCTGTGTTGTCCAGATATAGTCATCCCTCGGCCTCCTCGATGCCTAGAAAATGTAGATAATTAAGTCGCCGAAAGAGCCTATTTATATCAACCCAAACAGCGAAAACATATTGTATTATGTCCATAGTCACAAATTGTATCTTCAGATAATTAAGATGCCATGCACCCTGAAGAACCCACAGCTTCTGATATGAAATCAGGACAAAAAGAGAAGCTAACATAGAATATACTACAGTTTATGAATACTACAGTTTTTTAGATTACCACAGTTTTAATTACAGTAAGCTGTTTGGTCACCTCTAAAAATTGTGGTTTCAATACTGTAGTATTTGCAAAACCGCAGTTTTTTCTCTGTATTAAAAAAAGAACTCCAGACCTCTTTTTTTAAAACTGAGCACGCTGAAAAAACAACTCCATACACAATCCTGTGCCTTGTCTCTCGATGTGCATCTACTGGTGCCTCTCGACGGTGACAGCTCATTCCAGAGTTTGAAGACCGCCCAGTTGCAGGCAGCATGCAGTGGTACCTCAGACTAGTTCAGCTGCCTAATCTTATTGTAAGCTAGTTTAGTGCATAGATGTTTAGTGCATGTCCGTTCAAGTTTGTGGATGCGGCTGGTTGTTCAGTATGCAACGGTCAGCAAGTTGCGTACGCGCGTGTTTGCGACTTGTTAACAAATGGCTAACTGCAAATTTACATTACATATAAGTTCTAGCCAAACAGGTCTACAGTATTGCAAATACTTCAAAATACTCCAGTATGTTATTACTGTGGTATCGTGTGCCTATAGAAAAAAATACTGCAGGTTCTAAATACTTTGGTTTTACAATACTTTGCTATCAAACATTGGTGTCTTGCTGTGCATACTGCCAGCTTCGGCATGTAGTAATCCCATAAATGTGTAACCTGCTTCTGGTTTATTAATAGAGTAGCAAAAATTCGTTGCTCGGCAGAGATAGAAACCCACTATTGTCCAATGCCACAGTGCACTAATTTCACCATTGCCTTAACCACAAGTAACTAAACAACTACTCCTACATTATATATCCCACATTCATAAAAAAACTGAATAATTCACTGCAGTATATCGAGATGTATGCACAACACAATACGATCCCCCAAATTCCAGAAACTCATGCGCACAACGTGATCACGCCCCAAATTCTATCCAATGCGACCTCGCCTTAACTACCAGACGCGACTAATCCGACCGCAAAACCATGTAAACCCGACCCCTAACAAAACCGACATGGAGAACGAACTCGTACCTCCACACGCAGGATCGGACGAGAAGGGGAATCGAGAAGCCCCTCACCTCCAGGGACCGCATGTACCGGTCGATGTCCCCGAGGTACGGCGCCATACCCGCCCGGAGCGCGGCGGGGTCCGGCTGCTCCGAGTCCGGGTCCAGCAGGCGGGCGAGGTCGGCCGCGGTCTCGTCGTCGATGTCCCCCGGGTACGGCGCGATAGCCGCTGCGGCCGCGGCGGGGTCCGGCTGCTCCGGCTCCGAGTCCGTGCCCAGCGAGCGGGCGGGGCCAGTCACGCTCTCCTCGTCGCTGACCTCCATCCTCTTCCGGTTGCGGGTCCTCCCTGACCGGCGGCCGCGTCGTCTGCTTGGAAGCCCTCGGCGACGGTCGCAGCGTCGCCGAAGCGTTGCTCGAGGTTGAGACGATAGGCGGCTTGGCGGTTCGTGGCTGGCCCTTTAAGGGGCGGGAAGACGCGGGCGGTGCTCTCCATCGCCTCCGGCTCCGTCCTCCTCTGTTGCCGCTGGCCGCGTAGCTACATTTCGTTTCTTCGTGCTGGGTTTTTGGAGGGGGAGAGGGAGAGGAAAGCTAAAGGAAAAAGTCCAAAACAAACCTTGAATATATAGGAGAAAGCTAAACCAAACCCAGAACTCTCAATTCGTGAAATCAGCATACCAAACTTTTTAATTCCGATCCATTTTAAATCTTGGGAGTA